AAGAGAAGGCTGAGGGGGGATCTAGTAGCCTGTTATAAACTAGTCAGGGGGGATCGACAGGCATTGGGGGAGCCCCTGTTCCCCCGAGCACCACCAGGAGTGACCAGGAATAACGGTCACAAGCTGGCAGAGGGTAGATTTAGGCTAGGTATCAGGAGGCACTACTTCACGGTCAGGGCGGCTAGGGTCTGAAACCAACTTCCAAGAGAAGTGGTGCAGGCTCCTACCCTGGGGGTCTTTAAGAGGAAGTTAGATGTACACCTTGCTGGGGTCGTTTGACCCCAGTACTCTTTCCTGCCATGGCAGGGGGTTTGATTCGATCTACTCAAGTCCCTTCTGACCCTAGAAACTATGAAACTATGAAAAGAAACTCAAGTTAAGCAAACATACACAAGAGTTATTCTAAAAGGTCATTATTTAGCTGCAGAGTCCCGCATGCTGTGAACTGAAGACATATGTAAGCTAATTGTTTCCTAGTTAGCTTGGTTACTAGCAACAGTCTAACCATAGCTGCCCAGAGCTTGATACAGCCTGTGAAAGCTGCTTGAGAAGTAGGATAAAAATTACTGGGGATGCTAGCCTGCACTGTGGTCCAGACTGGTACTGGTCTGTGAGGTAGCCAGTAGATTTCAAGCTCGATTTCAAGACATTAGGGGCTGGAAGGGACTTCATGAGGTCATCAGGTCCAGCCCCCTGCCCAAGGGACAGGAAGTCAACTGGGGTCAGATCCACCCAGCAAGATAAGCATCCAAGCATTTCTTAAACATATCCAGAGTAGGTGCTCGCACCACTTCTGGGTGGAGGAGTCTATTCCAGACTCTGGAGGCTCGGATAGTAAACAAGTTTTTCCTTATGTCCAGCGTAAAATGGTCTTACAGCAGTTTGTGACCATTAGATCTTGTTTTCCCTTGGGGTGACCTGGTGAACAGATGTTCTCCCAGTTCCTCATGTACACCCCTTATATACTTATAGGCAGACACCAAGTCACCCCTGAGCCTTCGCTTCTCCAGGCTGAAGAGTCCCATGCCTCTCAGCCTCCCTCATCAGGCCTGGTCTCGTGACCTCTAATCATGTACGTGGCTCTCCTCTGAACTCTGTCAAGCTTCTCCACATCCTTTCTAAAGTGTGGAGCCCAGAACTGGATACAGTACTCCAGCTGAAGCCTCACCGAGGCCAAGTAAAGTGAGAGGATGACTTCTTGGGTCTTGCTTGAGATGCATTGGTAGATGCAAGCCAGAGTTTTATTTGCTTTGCTGGCTGCAGCATTGCATTGGTGGCTCATGATCATTTTGTCGTCATTCGTGACCCCCAAGTCTCTTTCAGTTGTGGTGCTAGTGAGTGTAGCACTGCCAAGCCTGTAAGTACAATGTGAGTTTTTCTCCTGAGGTGGAGCACCTTGCATTTCTCTGTGTTGAATGTCATCAAGTTTTGATCTGCCCAGCTTGCGAGCTGTCCAGGTCTGCCTGAATTGCCAGCCTATCCTCTAGAGTGACCGCACTTCCCCATAATTTGATGTCATTCGTGAACTTAGCCAGTCCGCTTCTGACACCCGAATCCAGATCAGTTATGACTATATTAAAAAGTACTGGTCTGAGTACTGAGCCCTGGGAGGGCTCCAGCACAGCCCCCGCAGCCCTCCTGGGGGTACAGGCAAGCCCCTGATCTGCATGCAGGATGACAGGAGCTGCATGCTGCTGCCTGGGGCCAGCGGCAACAGCGATCTTCCTGGCGCTGGGTGCGGGATGTGCCCAGCTCCAGTCTGTCATCTCACAGGCAGATCGGGGGCCTGCAGCCCCCAGAGGGCTCTGGCACAGCCTCCACAGCCCTCCTGGGGGTGTGGGCAAGCCCCCAATCTGCCTGCTGGATGAGCGGAGCCAGGTGCTGCTGGCTTGGACTGATGTCAGGAAGATTGCTGCTGCTGCTGGTCCCAGGTGCCAGCACCAGGCTCCTGTCATCCTGCACACAGATCAGAGGCCTGCTGGAGCCCCAGGAGGGCTACGGGGGCTGTGCTGGAGTCCTCTTGGGGGTGCATGCCCCCCATCTGCGTGTGATGACAGGAGCTGTGCACTGCCGCCTGGGGCCAGCAGCAGCAGCAATCTTCCCGGCATTGGGTGGGGGCTGCGCCCAACACCGGTCTGTCATCTGGCAGGCAGATTGGGGGTCTGCACCCCTCCCTAACCCTGCAGCCCTCCCTGGGGTGTGGGCGAGCCCCCAATCTGCCTGCCAGATGAGAGGAGCTGGGTGCTGGGTGCTGCTGGCTAGGACCAGCGCTGAAGCTGGTAAGCCTGGCTTTGAAACTCAAAACATTTTGAAACTTTTGAAACATTTTGAGTTTCCGTGTTTCATTTTGAAGCTGTTTCAAAGGCTTTTGTTTCATTTTGATGTCACTGTTTCAAGCTTGAAACACATTGAAATGGTTTCAAAACAAAATGACGGGCAAAGTTTTGCAGAGCCCTATGACATACCATCCTTCCCTGGAACCTATATAGAAAACCCTTAAATAATTGCAACCCATACTAGAAAAAGACCCAAGTCTTAAGGAGATCTTTCCAGAACCACCCATCCTAGCCTTTAAACAAGCACCAAACCTCGCTAACCTCATCACCAGAAACAAACTTCCTATGGCCAAAAGCACACCAAATGATCCAAACCATGCCAGGATAAGAAATGTACAACCTGCTCACACATCTCCAATACTCCTACAATAACTACACCCTGCAGCAGAACCAACATTAATCCTGGATCTTACACCTGCATCTCCAGGAATGTAATATATCTTATCCAATGCACTAAATGACCTGATGGGAAATATGTAGGAGAAACCAAACAACTGAGTACCAGAATGAATGCACACAGAAAATCTATCAAAGACAAGAATACCCAATTACCTATGGGGGTACATTTCTCACAAGAAAACTACTCTCTCTCCAATCTCTCAGTTCAAATCCTCAAAGGGAATTTATAAAACTCCTTTTGTAGACGAGCCTACAAACTTCACTCCATAAATCTACTGAATACAAAAAATCATGGACTAAATATAGACATTGGATTTATAGCACATTATAACCTGCCTGACATCTGATAACCCCAGGTAATGTGTCTGCATCTTACCAGCTACATTCCATTACCAGATCAACATTCCCCCTTTGCCCCAGAACCTACCAATCTTACCTCTATTCCCTCTGATCCTCACTGCCACTCATTTGCATTTTCACAGACCTGCATTTTGCATATTGGCTTCTATTCCACCATAGAGAGCACATAATACCAGCAGACTCTCCCTATGCCTGAAGGAGGGTGCTTCTGCACGAAAGCTTGCAAAAAAATCCAAATTTTCCAACTATTTAGTTGGTCTGATAAAAGCTATCACATTTACCCAAAGAACCTTCTCTGTCATTAGACTCAAGCCACCCCCTCAGAAAATGCCAGCTCTTAGCTTTCCTGGTTTTTTGGCTATAACAAACTAATGAAGCAATGCTTTTGGTGCAAGCAACTCAGAACACAACAGGCCGGAATTTTTTTGATACTGTGGAGTCCTATTTGAAATCTCTGGGTTTATCTTGTGAATCATGAATAAGTATTTCCACATCTAATAATGCTAATATGATGCAGCAGCCTATGGCACCCTGAAAAGGATCTCAGGGCATCCCAGCAGTTGAGAATCCCTGCTCTATCATATAGGCACCATACAAAAATAGAAGGAGAACCTTAGATGTGAAGATCTTATTAACTAATTTAAGACATGGTCTTATGTTGACCTGTAAACAGTTGGAGAAGAGGTGGGAAAATGTATAAGAGTAACAGTGAGGGGATCACACAATTACATCTGTGTGCACCTCAATGGTTTTGAGTCATTGAAAGCTGCTAATAAACCAAATGAATTCAGTAACTATAGCTAGTTCCTCTAGCCCAGTGGTGTCCAAAGTGGGGTGCACAAGACTATCCACTGGGGTGTGGGAAGAAAATATTAGAACTTCTATTTCTATTTATATAAATATACATATATTGGGGGTGCGTGCTCAAAAATTTTTTACTGATGGGGGTGCGCAATCAAAAAAGTTTGGAGACCACTACTCTAGCCTACAGCTGCTGTGTTGTGGAGTCTCTGAAACGTTGCTACTTTTTAAAGTTGCACAATCCTTTTCTTAATGCAGTGGATCAACATTCTGGGAAGCCTTGTATAGACTTCCTAGACGACCCTAACAAGTGGAATAGGAAATTAACGATGTGTGACATTTTACTTACTATCCAGGTAAGGAAATAATTTTGTTAATAACTTTTTGGAAATCTCATTTATCAAATAGGAATCTATTTTATTACAGGACTAATTTCAGACTTGCAGACTGCAATTGTAGATTATTTACCATTTTAAAATTAAAAATGCAAGCTGCTGGGTGACTTCAGAGGAAATGCAATCTGTAGATCACCCTTATTTGATACTGGTGTCACATCTGGCATCACATTAACTCTAATTAAGACAGATAGTTAAACAAATTACCATGATTTAAGCTGTTGCCAGTGCTAACTTCTAGATAGGTCAGTGGTTAGTTTCTGTGATCTTTTGGATTTATGCTGTTTTATCTGGGTAAGCGCTACTAGAGAAGTGTGTGCTGCCTGATTCTCTGTACTTTTAAAAATACTTTTAATATGCTGATAGCTTTACTTTCAAGTTCCTGAATTATCTCATAGGCAGAGTCTTCATCAGGAGTACTGGAATGGACCTTGAGGTTAGCAAGTAATTCAGCTTTATCATATAAGCTTTTATGTTTCAATTTTACATTTTTCCCCCGCAAGAAAAAAAATGATGTACATTTCTTCCTGGAATAAGTCCTACACCCTTTTTCATTATGTTCCTATCACTTTAAAAATTATTTGGTCCACTTTTCATAAATGAAAATGTCCCTTAGATATGTATAGAGAGACATGGACATCCTCATATTGATTATGAGTAAAACAAATGGCAGTTGCATATCATTTGTGGCTGTCTCTTGGGAATTATAAACAGTCTGAGGGGAAATAGGAAAAAGTGAGCATAGATTTTGATCAGAATTAAGAGCCTAGCCCTCATCTTTTTAAGTCACAAAACAACCATCCTTTGCTTTGAATTTAGCAAACCAGTATCATTATTGTCCATCTTGAAACAAGGAAACCAATCATTTGGATGGCTTGTACACTGAGATGGAAAGGTGCTTTACATTGTGTGTCTGTCTATATACAGGTGATGCTTTCTAATCCAGTGCTGGAAAATGCTGTGAATATGGAAGCAGCAGAAATGCTGAAAAATAACTTAGCATTGTATAGACAAATGGTTATCCAGTGTGTTAGAACCAGCCAACGCCTAGAAGGTAAGGCACTCTCTTGCTTTGTTACTATTCAGAAAGACATTCTTTAGCCCATAGGCATAGCTGGGTGGCCATGGCACACAGGACAGCAGCAGTGACTAGGCTGCCACTGCTGGTGGTGGCCCCAGGCTAGAAGTGACAGCTATTTTCACATCCCTCTTAAACCAGCACTTGGGGATGATGCCTGCCCCTCCCCTCCTTAATTACACTATGGCTTTAGCCAATACTGGGAATTTTATAGAATTTAAACAAAAAAACTCCTTGAGCAGTTTATTGTACTCTTGATAATCAATGTTGGTTGGTGTGTTTGGCAACTTAATTTCAACAAACACGCAACTGTGTCTGGAGCGTGAACACGCTGGCCAACATTGGAGGTGAAGGCAACAGTCATGTAAATGGCATCTTGTTAAATGAGACCTGGTGACATTTCCTTGCCAAGTAAATTCAGTGCTGTTGCAGGTCAAGCAGCTAGTAAAAGGGTGTAAGTTACAGCTGGCAGCTGGACAACTGGAAGTTCGGCTGTCTTTGCCTACATCATATGAACTGTTTGTCATGTAAAGCTTGATGAGAATAACGTTTAGAGCTCCATGATTAAACTAAACAATGATCAGCCTGCAAAAATGACTGCCTTGAGCAGGGGTGGCCAATCTGCAGCATGCGTGCCACAAGTGGCACCGGCAGCTTCTATGCGTGGCACACAGCAGATCAGGGAGGTAGACAGACATCACAGAGGTAGATAAGGCAGGAAGCAGAAAATAGAACAGGCAATCAGGCGGGCTACCCAGAGTAGGGAGCAGCGAGCAGAGTATAGGGCAGGGGAAGGGGATCAGAATGGCACCTGGGGAGGGTGTGGGATTAATTTGTGGCATGCCTGACAAAGGGGGTGCCCCCTTCTAGTCTAGAGGTTAAAAATAGCAGAAAAACTAATCTTAGTATGTTTTACAGTTCCTACTGTGCACAGGGTATGCAGAGGACATGAAAGGGTAGTAGCCATCACTGATTTTGCCCTTAATAAGCCAGACTTTCCAGCCCACTCCAAGTATTTGTGTCATTCAAGTACCTCATTCAATGCTGATGATAATGCAAAGAATATTCCCAAATTAGGGGAAACTCCCTGGTCTCTTAAAGCTATCTCAAGCATCTTCTGTGCCAGCTTCCTCCACATTCGTGGAAGACAGTGTAGCATGAAGGTGCACTGCTTTAACTAATGCCAGGGACAGGAAACGGTGCTTGTACCAACAAAAAATTAAACCCAACATCTCTATCCAAAAGCATATATAGCAGGTTGTTAAATGCATGAGTATTGCTCTGGGGGAAATATAAAATTGGATTCTTGTCTGATGTAACTCAGCATTGGACCACTAAAGTTAGTAGAAATTCACTGATTTATAACAGATAAGGATTTGGCTAATAAAGCTTTACAATACATGCTTTTCTCCTTTGCAGAACTTCTTAGAGCCAAGGATGATTCTATTTCTTCCCTGCAGTTTTATCCATCATCAGAAGCATCTTCTCTAGGCTGTATCAGGTAAAAGATTAGAGTGAGGAAAGTGGTAGGAGTGCCACTATTTCAGAAGGAGTAGCATCAGCTCCAGGTAATATTAGGAGCTGTGTCCTAAAGAGACCAATTATTTTCTTTCTTTTTTTTCCTGTTAGTGGATATTCCCAATTATTTCATTTCCTATGGAAACATTTGGCAAGCACCTTCTTTAACAGCTCTTGCCAATAACTCTTATTACTAAATGAAACAGGTTCTTTGCCTACAGGAGTATAGCCAGGAAATTTGTGATTGTTGAGCCAAGTGATATTTTCATTTGAACTAATCAATGACATGTATTCCAGGCCATACATACTTTAAGGTCATTTATTATGTTAATGACTAGTATAAGAAAACCAATGCATTCTTTCTAGAATATACTAGATCATTTTTATGATGTCTTTATTTCTATAGTGCGATAGCTGTGCATGGCATCACTACTGAAATATTTCTGCAGCCGAGTTACAGACTAACAGATGGGGTCAGATTCTCTTCCAGCTAACGCCCCTTTGCATCACTGCGGAATCTGGCTGTCTCTGTCCTGCTGTGAATTCCCGTAGCGGAGTGAGGGAGTTCTTAGCTGCTATCAACCTTGTTTTGTGGGCTCCTATGTCATCCTGTTTCTAGGCACAGTCATTTGAGTGTAAAATTCTGGCCCTATTGAAGTTAAAGGCAAACTTTCCTGGGGCTAGGATTTTCTCCCCTCCTTCCCCCCATATTTTGCCATGAACTTTGCTAGATACAGAAATAGTACCATTAAAAAAGGATGTATCAGAATGTCATCAAAATATTATGGATTCAGTCCTGCCTCCTTTGCATTCCCAAGTAGTCCACTGACTTCAGCAAAACTTTGACTATGGGGCAGAAGAAATAAAGTCTGGAGATCCATAAAAGAATCATTTCCTTTTATGGCTACAGCTTTAAATGTTAGTAAAAGCAAAGAGCCTCTGGCAAGCAGGTCTTGAGATTTGACAGGACTGCAAAGGTGAAGGGGAGAAGGAACATCAAGCAGATCAACATGACGGTTGCTGAAGGGTCCGTGTTTTGTCAGGAGCTAGTGGCCTTCCTCTCATTGTTACCTCCCAAAAGACCCAAGGGAGCCTGGGGATCAGAGATGTTTTATATATACATATAGCCATCTTGTGTTTGGTCTTTTATAGGATGATTTAGAATGAAGTTAGCTCACTTGTTTTGCTTACAGCTCAATCCCAAAAGAATTAATATTTTACTGAAGCAAGAATACCAAGCAGGAAACGATGCAGAATATGAGGAGGGGGTCAAGCAGGGAAAAATTAGCAGGGTGCAGGTGCAGCAGGTAGACAAAAGCATCATGCAAGCTTGCTGAGCTTCTTCTGTGGACCTCGAAGGAGGAGGTCGTTGTTAATGTCTCCCCTGCTCTCTGCAAGATCTGAAATCTGCTCTCTATATATTCCAAATGCAAACATCATCAGGCAGGATTTTCACAAGTAGTCGGGACCGGCCTAATTCTCCTCCTGCTGATACCAGTAGTAACCTTCTGGCCCCATATGTAACTTCAGGGAGGGCAGGGCCTACGCTGAGGGCTTTTGAAAACTATAACTTACCGTTCATCAGTGCCCAGGATGTGAAACCTTGGCTCAGAACCGATTGAGTCAGCTGGTGTTAGGGAACCAAACTACCCTACCCCAAAAAGCTTACAGTGCATGTAAAATCCTGCCTCTACTGTTCCAATGATCATTTGCTTAGCTACTAAACAACCTTGTACATCATTGCTTAAAAGGGTAACAGCCAAACAAACAAAGGATGCAGTTGAAAAAGCCAAACATTGAACAAAATGTTGACTGTTAAATACAATGTTGAAACTGCCCACTTCCTGATTTTTTGGCCCTTTCCTGCAGTGAATTGGCCCATTATAGAGGTCTGGGCCTAACTGCACCGTGACAGACCCACCCCTGTTGAAAGGTCCTGTGATATCCTGAGGCGAGCCTAGTGCTTATTCAATTTTTTTTTTAAAGGTCACAAAGAGCTCCATTGAAGGAGAACAGGGGGAGGAGTGGAGCTGCAAGGAGCTTTCTCTTTGAAGCCTCAGCCTTTGGCCTGAGGGACCTGCCTGTGGCAAATCAGACCCATGAGGGGCTCCAGAAAGCATGACATCTACACCACATCCTTGCCATTTCTGGGAGCATACACTCCCAAGAGTACCCTCCCCACCCACTCCTGCTCCCAGGGCATTCCCTGTCGCCCCTCTTGAGCATGCTGGAGGCTGAAACTTCATGAACAGTTGCAGAGAGAGGCCACAACTATTCTCACATCTGCTTTTCTGTTTGGCACCTGTGTGCTCAGGAGGTCATGTCCCCTGACAAAGGCAGAGATGTGGTGTTGACAAGTCCTGTACAAGAAGAGAGCTGAGCACAGGAGACATGGAAGAGTCTTATGGTTTTGAGTTTGTTTGGACTTCAATACCTTTGTGGTGGTGTTACTAAAGGGTTGATAACTGACTCCACTGGAAAGCTAAGTAACCTCAGCAGCTAAAGATGCTGAAAGCTGTGTGAATTGTTGAACACCCAAGATGAAACCAAAGCAGGGTGTCTGCAGTAGTGCATCATGCAACAAGGAGGCAAGCTCAGAGACTGTGCCCTCCTAGAAGCTCTTACAGTCTCCTCAAAATACCTCAAGGGAGACTTCTGCAGGTGAAACTTAGTATGAGTGACTATTGGCTGAACACATGTGCATCTATGGAGGTGGGACTGGCAACCTGTTTCTGAGGCCCCTCTACACATTACAGGTATCACACAATTACCTGGTTAATTGCACAATTACCTGAAGACCAGCTACATGTGCAAATTAGCTATCACATGATAAAAAACTCCAACCAGCTATAAAGTTAGACATCGAAAATGTGTACTAACTTTAGAGCTGGTTGCTGTCAAGTTTTCATTTGCACGTGTAGCAAGGTCTCCCCTGTGGCCTGGAGCCCCATCAGTTGGCTGGGCTCCAAGCTGCAGGGCTGTACCATGCCCAGTGTGAAAACCCCGAGCCCTGAGGATTGCAGCTGCTGTGATCCCCAAGGTAAGAGGGGGATGTGGGAAACCCCCAACCCACAAGAGGCTCTCAGTCCTGCTCCTCACCCACAGCAAGGACCAAGAGCCCTCCTCCCTCCCTTCCCCCCCCCAAATGAAAGGGCTCCCAATCCAGGCTGCACCTCACATGTAGCCGGGACTGAGAGCCCCACAAGTAGCAGGGCTTAATTCCTGTCTGCACCTCGCGCATAGCCAGGATCCAGTTCTTGGATCAAGCTCCCCCTGCACTGACAATATAGTTTCATAGTTTCATAGATTTAGGGTCGGAAGGGACCTAGTAGATCTTCTAGCCCGACCCCCCGCCAGGGCGGGAGAACAACAAAACCCCAAAACAAAAACGGGACTCAAATGAGTCCAGCCAGGTAGGCATCCAGCCTCTTCTTAAAGACCCCCAGGGTAGGGGCCAGCACCACTTCCCTTGGAAGTTGGTTCCAGCTCCTAGCCGCCCTAACTGTGAAGTAGTTTTTGCGGATGTCCAATCTATACCTCCTCTCCATCAACTTGTGCCCATTACTCCTTGTTATGCCAGCGGGCGCTAGGGGAAACAGCGTCTCCCCCAAACCCTTCTGGTCCCCCCTAGTGAGTCTATAGACGGTCACCAGGTCCCCCCTCAGCCTTCTCTTGTGGAGGCTGAATAGGTTCAGGTCCCGCAGTCTCTCACTGTAGAGTCTGCCCTGTTGTCCCTGGATCATGCGGGTGGCCCTCCTCTGGACCCTCTCCATGTTGTCCACATCCCTCTTGAAATGGGGCGCACAGAACTGGACACAATACTCCAGCTGTGGCCTGACCAGCGTCGTGTAGAGGGGGAGGATCACCTCCTTGGCTCTACTCGAGATGCACCTGTGGATGCACGACAAGGTCCGGTTAGCCCTGCCAACCATGACCTCGCATTGTCGGCCCATGTTCATCTTGGAGTCAATAATGACTCCAAGATCTCTTTCTGCCTCCGTGCTCTCGAGTAGGGAGTTCCCCATTGTGTAAGTGTGCTGCTGGTTCCTACTGCCCAAGTGCAGCACCCTGCACTTGTCCGTATTGAAACGCATCCTGTTCCTGTTAGCCCACCCCTGTAACCTATCCAGATCCTTCTGCAATCTCTCCCTCCCTGCTAGCGTGCTCACCTCCCCCCAAATTTTGGTGTCATCAGCGAATTTAAACAGGTTACTTTCCACCCCATCATCTAGATCGCTGATGAAGAAATTGAACAGCGCAGGCCCCAGGACCGAGCCCATATTAGATCCAATATGGTGTATTGGATCTAATGTGCAATCCCACAGTTGCAACTCCTGCCATGCGTGTGTAGCATGGCAAGAGGTGCAGTTGTACGGATCATGCATTAGATCCTATCACACTTTTACCTACATGTGTAGAGGGGGCCTGAGATAAACTGTTCATGAAGAAGTTACGTTTTTCCCTTTCAAAATTCTTCTTGTACTTTTTTGTGTATTTTCTTGCACTTCTGAAGCATCTGGGTCTTACTATTCTATGCTTTTCTTGTACTTGCGTTTGCGGGGAGATCTTGGGTAGGTTCTGACCTCCATTGAAGTCAGTGGCAAAGTCTCCATTACTTTCAAATGGGACAGGATTTCTGTTTTGAGGCTTAATCCTCAGTGTCACTGAGTGAGGTAGGACACTCTTGGGGTCAGCCAGCTGGAGCCTGAATAGGAGCCACAGGGTAAAACAGAGTACAGAATTTGGCCTACAGCCTGAATAAGCTAGACAGCAAAGCAAAAAACAGTAAACAGTGTGCTAGTTAAGGAACCACTTTGCTTCATTTGCATTGTTTGAATAATAATTTTGAAACTGAAAAACACATTCATGGAAAATGGTAAGTTGGGTCTCAAAATACTCTACTTTCTCAGTTACTGTTAGCCATTTTAAAAGAAATATATTCCTCCCCTATTAACTGTTTGTTCCCTTAAGCAGAGCAGCTTTACAGACACTCAGTGGGCACATCTACACATGTATATCAATTTGACAATAAACTCTGGTGTATATTGCGCCAGAATTTATTGCTCTCGGGTGCTGTGTTTGCATGTGTGCCTGGAACCGCAGCACAGCCACAGCGGGCTGCCCCTGCACTGAAGCACCCTCATGCCCCAGCCAGCCATGTCACATGTTTATTAAATTACTGCGGCCTAATAGGACCACATGTGTAGAAGCCAAGATGTTTACTGCAGAGCTAATTAGATAACTCCACAGTAAACGTCTCGGATAGATACGCCTGGTTCAGCTATGCTAACGCTTGGAAGAGGACGTGGGACAGAATATTAAGATAATTCAATTTTGTTGTCTTATAAATTGATAACAAGTTAACACAGGTAGAATGTATTTAAAATATGTCTATTGTTTGAACTGCTTGCACACGTGTGATCTTATTTCTCTTGTCATTTGAGCAGCCCTTGTGCAATCATTTAAATCCCTTTGAATTCATTCTGTTGTTATTGTGGAAGTTTATTCATGAAAATCTGTGTTAACTAACAAATTGTATAATTGCTAGAAACCCTTGTCTTGTTCTGCATTTATAGTTACAGAAGGATTACAAGCATTTCATTTGAAGATTACCACAGGACATGGTCTGGAATAGCCACATCAAAAGCAAAAGAATATTTTAAAGCTCCATGTAAGATGATATGCCTTCTTTAGTAAAATTAAACATAATGAGATAGATCCTGCTCTCATGCAGTTGTTACACTAGAGTAAGAATTTTGCCTTCAGTGGAGCTGCTGTGGATAGTGAGCTCAGAATCGCATCATCTACCTCAGGTGTCCAGAATTTAGGGCAGTAACTCAGTTGATTTAAATTGACATAATTCCAGTAACTTCAGTCTATCTAGACCAGTTTAAACTGGTTAAAGATCAAGTCCTTATTCTTCTTGTATTGTAATAGTGTGTACAAGCTGCAGTCATGGACTAAACTCAGTTACTCAAATGCTAGCCCATGAGCTAGATCTGGCCTGCAGAGTCGTGTCATCCAGTCCGTGGGGCTCTCCACAGGGCCAAAAATTTGGTGATGGGGGAGCAGTGGCAGCTAATTCTGGCACGCAGGATCTTATGTAGCCTGAAGATTGGCCTTCTGCCACTCATCTGGCCCATGGAGCCAAAAGGTTGAGTGCCACTGGACTCTATTGTACAAAGCATTGTAGAAACATGGCATAAAAAGATGGCCCTTTTCCCAAACAATTTACTATCTCTGTAGGTTCTTGTTGGAAGACATGGAAATCAAGATTGGTAGTAGACAGAAAATATATTAAGGAGTCATAAATGATAAATACAATCTAGGTATGATTAAGAAAAAAATTAACTGCAGACAGTATAATGGCCTTGGTTATAAAGTAACATCCCACCACTGCAGTCTACTGTAACTAAATTCCCAACAAAACTAGACATAAAGCAATTGTTTAATTGGACTTTAATGACTGTCACTTTGAGTATACAAGACGAGGATTATATCCATGTATTAATAGTATGTCAGATAATATCGTTTCAGTATTCCTTTTTGTCATGCACTTCAGTCACAATTCTTGTCTCATTTTATTCATGGTATTTTAAAAGTATGCATACAGTGCAGAAGCTCCAGTTATGCTCTCGGATATACTTGTATGCACTGAGACAATGCCAAGGACATCAGGAGAGTTACTTCAAAGTTATTCCTAGTAGCTGAGATCAGTCAGGGCCAGGACTCTAATTAGTAGTAATAGTAATATGCAGCTCTTAATGTGGCCCTGATCCTGCTTCCATTGAAGAAGATAGCAAGCTCCCGTTGTCTTTTATAGTGCAGGATTTTGCTAGAAATGAATGTAAGGGATGTATATGTTTGTAGCACTCAGATATTAAATATTACTTTGAGGAATATTGTGTTTGGCACATGTTGTATTCTAACTAATTTTCTGTAATTATGGCATTACAGTGTTTGAAGATCCAGTCTTCATGGGGAATTACTACAGCTGGAAGGAAAGAAATTTGATAGAAGCAGGCGGATGGGATGAGAATATGTAAGTGTTGTCAGTCCCTTGAGCTTAAATTGCTAAATGTCTGGACCTAGGTGCCGCTGCAACATTTGAACGTCTGTGAAAACTTCAGGCGGTCAGTACTTGTGCCCTGCAGCATGTTTCCAGACTGCTAATTGCTCGGCTACACTGAATCATGGATTTTGACTCTTAAAGCCAAACCTTCCCTCATATTCTATGGCTGCTTTGGAGGCAGAGTGGGAAGGGAGAGGTCCTAGGAACCTGAAGCAGGGCAGCATTTCCACCTAACGCTCAAGTGGACTCTAGCCATGGGCACCTTTTAAGTAGGTGCCCACTGCTCCCACAGGGGTAACAAAGCAGCCAAGTGGCCAAAGCAGTGGTGACTTCCCACTGCTGCTGTGCAGCTGGAGCAATTGTGTGGCTGAAGCAGCAGCTGGTATTTTTCTCTCCACCATCAAGTCAGCACGCAGGAAGCTATCCTGGTGGCCCCCTCCTAGTTATGGTACTGACTGCTCCTTTATGGAACAAAGACTAAGGGAGCCCAGAATGGAAATACCTGCCAGAATAGATAGAAGACTCGCTAGATGGCCAAGCACAGCTCAAGCTTATCAAGCCTGAACCTAAACTGGTCCAAACGTATGTGATCAGTGGAGTTACGCAGGTCTAGATCCGTGGGGGATCTGAATTAAGGCTCTTACATTTTTGAGGTGCCTACTTAAATTTTATCCCTAGTGCTTCTGTGACTGAATCCCTGCTTCCAAGCAAGGGAAAAAAATATAGGAATCTGAGATGCCAATATGCGTCCTTGTAATCTCATAGATCAAGCTAGGTTTTTTCACCTCTATTGCTGTTGACAGTTCATAACAGGCCAAAAAATGAGGAATCATTTTTATCCTTTGAATCCTGTTTGCCTTCAAAATCAATTGGAAGCAAAAGGACAGCTAATTACAGGTCAAGTTTGAAGCAGAGCTAATCCTGAACTCAAATTAAGAGTTTATTTTTCTTTCTGAAAAAAAACTGTAAAATAGAAGGTTAATTCTCCTTTGACACAACTTCCTTATTTCCTTTCACAGAACTCCTTTGTTTTATATGTTTCATAATTGCTTCATCATGTAGGGCCACAGCATCCTTCATGACCGGAGAAAATCTTCAAAAAACCCCCACATACTTGTCCTTTCCATTTTTAAAATTTTTTTTTGCATATTGCTCAAGCAATCTGGAGTCACGTCAGAAAACTGTCTTTGGTGTCAAGTTAAGCAAATTTTTATGTTAGTTTCATAGGAGCTGGAGAGGAAATTGCTACGTGGGTTTTTCTTGGAGGTGGAGAGGAACACAGTGGTGTGAAATAGCCACATCTCGCTGCCATCTGCTGGTGGGAAATAATACGCTTTTAGCAGATTTCTTTCTGCCTTCGAATTTCTGGGTTTGACTGATCAAAGACAGGTTCAGATGCATGGTACCAGGTTCAAACACAGTGTTGTTTCTCATTTGGTATTCTTTTCCCAATTGCCAACAGCTCAGAAACATGCTCATATTTTGAAACTCATTATCTATCCCTAACTTCCGGCATTGAGATAACGAGGAATGAAGCCAAGTCTGCAGCCTCAGTATAGTAGAACTTTAATTTTGGGTATATAATAAAGACAATGTGGAAATTATTAAAATTTTCTTAAAATGAAAGTTGAATTCCTGAAACAATATAAAACAATTTGCAGAACAGTTCGCTTTTGTACAATACACTTCACAAAAAAGCATTTCCAGCTGTTTACAGCTAACTAGTTTACATAGATTCACCAGCTACTGTAGTATATAAATAACCAGTATCAGGCCAAATTCTTCTCTTGGCAACACAAGTATATAAATCTGGTGCTAAGTATATAAATACTAACTTTTCTGAACCTGTGATTTAGAACAGAATGAGGATACTATCCTTAGGTATGATCAGGCAGTAGTGCAGAAAATACTGGTTGTTAACCAGAGAGACACATGAATATCCAGGAAACAAAATATAATTTATAACTGTAGTGAGGTTTATGAATCATAGGCCAGAAAGCAGAGACAGGTTTCGAAAGGCCATTTAAAATTGGATGTAATAAAAGAGGTAGAGGAGAATTTTTTGATGGTGGGGGAAGAAAATGCTTCCTACTGATGAGAGACAAAATGAAGGTGAACTGTTAGACATCTCCTGCATAGAGCATGTAGAATGGCTGGAGACCAAGTCTCAGAAGTTAGTCATTTTAATGTAAAAAATTCCTACCCATGAATTTAATAGGAATAAATAATGTTTTCCTGCCCACAGCTGTAGGCCCAGTTTCAGCTAAGTACTTAACCGTGTGTTATCAGTGCCCCTCGAAGTTTTACAAACACTATTTAATTCTGCTTCTCAGTTCCCAGTGTGTCAGATGAGTCCATTGCTTCCATTTTAATAGATAAAAAACAGAGGTTTTGTAAAACGCTAAGGCTTACTGGTGCATTTGTGTACCTATCTATGCTGCCGTGGTTTCAGTTCACCTAGACACAGTCAAACTAGTGTGTTGAATACTGCTACCAGTGTAGAAATAACAGCATGGAGCTCAGATTGGGCTCCAAAAACCTCCTGAGAAGCTGGGCAAATACCTGGGTGGTTAACCCATATGTATATATGAGCTGCTTCAGACCTGCAGGTTCATGTACTGCTAAGCCTGAGTGTGTCTACACAAGCTGCAAGCACAGGAGTGGCTGCTGTGGAGGTATGTTGTAACTTACTGGCCATGTCTATATGTGTGATTAATGCTCACAAATAAACTCCAGAGTTTACTCATGTACAGCACATGACATCCAGTCAGAGCAGCCCGCTGGCAGGGGACCCAGGTGTCAGCCTGCAGAAGGGCTGTCTTATAGGGCTGTATGAAATTTCAATGGCCATTTCATTTCAACACTGTTTCAACTTATTTCGAGGTCAAAACAGCAAAATCAAAACAAAGCATAGGCCATTGAAATAGCCTCGAAACAAAACAAGGCGAGTTGAAACGTTTTGAAAGTCAAAACATTTCTACCATAGTGCTGGGGATGGGAAGTCAGTCCAGCTGAGCTGCCTCCCTATCCCACATGCCAGATTGTGCCCAGGGCAGGGAGGCCACCCCGGGGCACGATCCAGCGTGGGGGAAGGAGAGACAGCCCAGCTGGGCTGACTTCCCATCCCCAGTGAAACATCAAAACAGCATCGAAACAGCCTTTCTGTTTCAATGAAACAGAACAGCTGTTTCAAATCGAAATGAAATTCGAAACAGAACGCTGTTCCATCGAACCTTCAAAACTCAAGTCGAAACAGAGCGGTGCCATTTTGCACAGCCCTACTGGCTAGGACAGCATCTACATATGTGCTCCTGCACATAAAAAAATTCTGCAGCCAGGTAGTATTTGTAAAATATAAGTTCTACCTTGCCGTAGAGTTTATTAGTTTTGTGCACCCTAATAGGGTGCACATGTAGATGCAGAGACATTCACTGCACAGTTAATTAGTTGACATCTCGTGTAGACGTGCCCACTCAGGAGCAGAACTCTTTTTCTTCTGGGTTGATGTCAGTCTACCTTGGGAACGCTCATTAAATTGATGTAACAAAAATGACCATGAAGTATACCATTACATATTTTGTCTAAAGTGTCTTAATTTTATTTTTCCTTCTCTGACAAAAAAAGCAATCCAGTCATGTGAGCTGAGCACTACTCTTTAAAACTGAATAACAATAGATTACTGAAGACAGAAAAGTATATAAAGCAGAATATATATGTTTGGACTCTTGCTTTCTGAAAACAGCTTTTATGAAAAAGTAAAAGCTTGTTTGCCACCTTGTGGCTAGAAAGAGAATGCGTTAAACATTCTTTTTATCAAATTGAACTTTCAGGCTTGTTTTTATCAAAGAAATTAAAAAACTAGGAATAGTCACCCATTCTGTATCCTTGCCAACTGCAAACAGATCCTGAATCTCTCAGAAGTTAATATACCAAGTGTTGTCTAAAAGCCAAGAGAAAGATAGGTTGATGTAAATACCTGTGTTTTAAAACATGTTGTGCTTTGAATATCTATAACTCTCTCTTGCAACCTTGGTTACATTTGAGCAGTGCAGACAGATAGTGGGGAGAAGTCCAAGAGTTTAACAAGAATAAACAAATCCTCCTCCAAGGGAATCTAGAATGAGAGAATAAATGATTTTTCAGAGTTGTCATTCACTCCTCTCATCTCTCCAGTGTTAATAAACCATTGTTTGGCCCCCCTTCAATCTAAGCATGATATGTTTAGAAAGACAAAAATAAAAATCAAAAGATTAATAGGTATGCTGTCATCTTAAAAATCATGCTTTGTCCTGGAAGCAAAACTGTTTCTGTGCTTGTATGACATGCAACATCTCAGATACCTAAAAGGCCTGGAATTCTCTCACTTTGGATCATTTTTAGAAGTTTGCTCTCTGGCCAGATGAGCGCAGCCGTGCGGTATGGGGTGCCGCAGACTGCACATTCAGTTGTTCTCTGCACTGCAAGGGAGCAGCACAGGGGGGTTCTTTGACCCCTGGATATCCAGGGGTCAAAAAAATCCCTGAGGAAAAAAACAGCAGAGCTGGGGCAGCGTGCACCGCTCAAAACCAGAGCCTGGCTGGCTGGAGCTGCACTGCACCCCAGGAGGACCACAAGTAAGGCTGCTGGGGCCAGCCCAGTGCTGGTCCCAGCCTCTCCTACCACCGCCAGAGTAAGCTGCCACACACCAGAGGGCACATGGCACAGATGTTCCCTGGGGACAAGTGGTGGCACAAGGTGCACCAGTGCAAGCTCTCCCTGGAGAAACAAACGTCCATGCACGAGTGGACGTGGCCTCTGTTTCCATTGTGCCTTTCTCTTGTCTTGAAACGGGCTTCAGGCTCAGGTCTGTAAAATGCTAACTCCTCTGGCCCCAATCCAGCAAAGGACTTAGGCATATGATTTACTCCAACCATGCGAATAATCCCGTTGATTTCCTCAGGATCACTCATGTGTTTTAAAGTTACACTGGTGCTTCAGTGATTTGCTAGGTGAAGGCCAGAGCATTTGGCACTGTAGAGGATACAGCCTGTAGTCACTGCCACTTCCAGATTCTTAGGTATTACAGCTTCCTAATAGAGCTGAATAGGAAGGGGCTTCCCACCACAGGAAGCTGTTTGTGGTTTCCTCAAATCTGCATTGGCATGAATCTGAGGTTTTTTTGCAAGGGGCGGGGGGGAGCAGGGACAGAGAGACACCCCCAGGAATAACCAGTAACCCAGTTCTCAGTGCATTTGTGAGAGATGTAGGAAGTCCCTACTCTGAATCAGGCACAGAAAGAATTTGAACCTGGTTGCCCCTAACCACAGGCTATAGGTTATTCTGGGCAATAACATAACTAGGGATGGGCAAGCAGGGAACCAGCCCCAACTGCTAATGTAGAAGGGGGCCACAATGGCAACTCCTGGAGAACCCATAGTACTGCTGCCACCACCATTTGCACTGCATTAAGCAGCAGCTGCATTGTCCCAATGTGAGGAGGTATATGCCCAATCCCATGTAACCCTTCCTGCTGTTTGGCACCTCCCCTTCTGGCTCCTTCTCCTGTCCAGTGCCTACCACCTTCCCTCTCCCCTCCTCTCCACCCAAAGCACCAAAATTTGTAATAGAAATTCTGTCCTTGTCAGAATAGTTACAGGTTTTTCCACGAAAAATTTAAGGTCCAATAAAAAACTTATTCCTAATCTGCTTCTTAGTGCTGTGCTGAGCAGGCACATGCTTACAGTTAAACACATGCTTAAGTATTCTCATTTCGGCACAATGAGATTTTTTAAAGACAAATTTATATTTGGAGCCAAGCCTAGATCAACAGTATCAAACTGATGCTCTGTCTGCTTACAGATATAAAACAATTATGTCTCAGCTCATCAGGAGGCAAAGGAAACAAAAAAATGAAAGACTGCTTAAGATGAGCAATGAGAAACAGGACAACTATCAACTCTGGCAAACAACAGGTACCCCAAAATGGAGCATTTCCATTGTGCCCATTTAAGGCTTGATTCTCCCCTTACATCCAGCAAAGTAAACTTGGAATAAATCCACTGTAACTTAAAATAGCATGAGTCTTTAATTGGACCTGTATAGAGTATGTGCACTCTGAAACCATAATGCTGTTTCCACCAAGGACAAAAATCCAATAGATGGCAGAAACTTTGGTGTGTCACTATAAATCCATTACACAGTCTCCAGAATTGTAGTATAATTGCATTTTCCATAGTGTAGAAAGAATCTGCCCCAAATTGTTCAATGGATTAGGTCCCTGCTGAGCAAAAAGTCTGTAGATTTGATTCTCCTTGCCAAGCTTTTTGAAAAGTGGGAGTAACATCACTGAGGGAGCAATGCTTCACCAAAATGAAGTGGTGGAAATGAGAGAATATGTCCTAGCTTTCTAGGTCCAGGGATAAGATAAAACCAGGTATTTGCCAGTATGTTTTAAAAAAGAAATACAGGCGCAGCCTCTTGACAATATGTTCAAGGAGGGCTGAAGCACAGTTGCAACATCTTGGTTTCAGATATTCACCCCCGCATGGGAGCACATTTAAAGGCTTACCAGAGTTTGTGAGATTTCCATGTAGTCATGTTCAGGATGATGTTTCTAATGTCTTCTGCGGTGACCCTCCACACTGTTTTGCAGACTAACACCTATGCCTCCACAACACACCCCTGTGAGGTAGACAGGTGGTAGGCAAAAATAACATCTTACTAGGTTTGCTTTGGTTTTGAGTGACCCATTGTCTAGTAAAATATTATTACAGATTTTAAAATTACAGCTTTTCTTACCTTGAATGTAAAACTTGAAGAGAAACACAACTCAAGTTGGGCTCTCTTATGAGAGAAATTCCACGATCATTGCCTAGGCCATGGCTGGGCA